CCCCCCCCCCCCCCCAAGCCAAGAACCCCCAACCTTGCAAATCACCAGTCCCTTTTCAAAATATTGACATGCAGGTCTAATTAATATATGCAGTTACCATGTTAAACTGAAAGAAACAGCGTACAATGAGTATCTGGTGAGATAATTCATGATTGAAATGACAATAAACTTGCATACAAATGAAGATCTTTCTGAAAATTTAATTCTGTTCAGAGCATCACAGCATGTTAGCTGGAGAAGTAATTACAACCCAGAAGAACTGTGTCCGAGACCTGCTCACTGACTACCAGACAAAGCTTCTGTTACTAATGCTTGGTATAAAACTAACCTGACTGTGTGCTATTGCCTTCTAGTAACACAGAACATTTGGGAACCAATGAAAACTATACAGTTACCTTCTACTTACTGCCACATAGGCTGATTCTGCAAGATGCCCAGGGCCTTCTCCAGCAAAGTGCTGAACTCATTTAACTCCCACACTGAGCACCTTGCAGGGCTGGTCCCTAAGGCTTCATCCTCTACCAATACCTTTCCAAGGTGGGAGGTTTAAGGGATCTAATCTGAATAACCAGCACGTAGTAACTCTTAAATAAGGCTTATACCCGTTGTTGAACTGGCCAGGGTTTTGTTATTGCTGACAAATCACAGGCAGTCATCAGCATTGCTCTGTAAAAGAAAAGAAAACCCATGATGTGTTGCAACATGAAACTCATGTAATCATTAAAGCAAGATGCTAGTAATTACGGAATCCAATGATAAATATAATCCAAGTCAGAAAAGCTGATGAAAATACAGGAAAATTATAAAAATAATCTTCAGAGGGACTACATGGATGGGGTTTAGTAACAAGGCACTCTCTGTTGTTCTCCTGTGTCAGCAGACCCAAGCAAATCTAGATCATGTCTGTTGAGAGTCAGTCCATTAGCTTTTGATGGGCCCACGTAACGTGACCTGGTTGCAGTGTATTTGCAACTGAATGGGTGCCACATTACAAAAATCATTGTCATCATTGATGGTAAGTAGTAACTTTGCTGTCTATTCCAGCAGGAAGGCCACTGAACAAGTCTGATTCCTAAAGGCTGTGCCTTCAAAGCAGGGTCACAGCACACTGATGAAGCTGCCTAGGGATTCAGCTACATGGCTGAGGAAATTCAATGTGCCTTTCAGACTCATTCCTTTCATGAAAAATGAATATGTTTCAAAACAAACAGCTCTCCCTGAATCTTTAGGATACTGATTTTAACAGTTCACTGCTTTAGGACAATGCACCCACAGCAAAAGAACATTATGATACTGTGTCAGGAATCCTGCACCTTTTAGGAATAACAGAAAAGCTTATATAACTTTACAAGTCACCCACCAGTGTCCATTAGACAAGCCCTTGCAGCTCTTTCAATAATAATCAGTTAGGCATCCATTCACTGGCCCCTTTGGCTTGTGTCAGATTGTGTAGGCCTGGATCTCACAGTCCTACAGTGGCACTACTGAAATGTGCTGCAGTGTGGCATGGAAAATTTGACAGACGATAGCACACAGTATGGCTTTTAAACTTCTGCCATTAACTTACAAAAATAGCTCTTTCTGCATAGGATCTTCCCAGTCAAACTGCTTCTTTCTTAGAAGTTCAAAAAACTCTCCCCTTCTCCTTAAAACAAGCAAAAACAAGAAAAAAAGAGTTCATAATTGGGCCAACACAATTCAAACATCTGACAGGGGCTGGTCAGCCAAATTTGCTTCTAACTTACTTAATGTACAGTGCCAGGTCTGTGGCAAGAATGGCTTGTTTTATCATTTTCAAAGTGGCCTTGTATTCTTCAATAGAAAGGCTGCTGAGAATCTGGTTTCCCTTTACAAAGACAAAAAGAGGAATGTTAACAACCAAATATGTACGTCAACAATTTATTACTTCTCTACTTAAGTTCTGAATTGCTCTTGGTTGTTTTCTTGTAACTGTTGGCTTTTTCTTCCTCTGCTCTCTACTGCAAATTCCCTGCAAACCATATTGCAGTATATTTGAATATTGGCCAAAAGTTCCAGGAACAGTATTGTAAATTATTATACAGTGGAATGCTATAGTATTTTTAGCAGGCAGAGAACTGGAGAAGCAAAGAGACTTTAAGTCTATCTCATTCCAAAGAGTCCCTTTGCTACAAACCACATCCTAGAGTTTCCTTTTCTTTTTCTGCAGTAAAGAGGCTGTGGCCGATTCAAAAATCATGGCTTAAGAACTTTACAGCTTAACTACCATATGGCAAAAAGCATAAAGAAGTCATTCCTTTATAAAACAACACTACAACAACAACAACAACAACAAGAGATATGCAAGAACAGCAACCCACAGCAAAATCAAGGCACCCTGGGGATGAGGATAGAGGAATCTGTCTCTATATGTTCCTTGCTTTTGTCAAACCTGCAATACCAAACAAGCCGTATAAATATGCAGTTTCACTCTTACTGTGAATGCCAGATAGCTGGTTTTCCAATGAAGAAGTAAAATGTCACACATTGTATGTGTTTATTTCTGGGGCTTTGTTCAAGTTTATCTGTAGCCATGGGATATGTCACTTTTTTCAAACTGATTTGGGCACATATAAGCATGAATCTTCCTTAACATGTGAGCAACATTTCTGGCTCAGAGAAGCATTTGTTACTGATTACAGGTGTGTCAAAATTAAGGCTTTTTATTTTGTTTGGTCCAAGAAAGCAGGTACTCAAAATGAAACCAGCAAAGCTGCCCTTGTCAAAGTTGCCCTTGAAAAGGCCTGGTTGTCAAAAGTGGGACTGATTTCAAAATGTTGTATTTGTTTTCTTTACCCAAAAAGGAATGAAGCTCTTTTGAGAATGTACAATGCTGGGAATCTATCCAGAAACTAAAAATACAAGCAAAACAAGCTAGGGTTTCAGTCAAACACATGAAGAAAGAAGCCATTTACCGGACTATTCAGGATCATCAGACACTGATCAAAATGGTGATGCTCCATGATGGAGTGGCAGTAGAGCTGAGCCAGGGGATGTTCGCTTCTGCGAAGTAAAAACATCACATTGGGAAACTGAGAAATCGAGTCAAATGCATCCACCATTCAGCAGCATTTACCAGCACAACTCACTCTGCTCTGTGTCAATTAACCAACTCTCCCAGTGCTCCTTTCTTGATCCATTGTCTGTTCTCCTTCTTCCGTGTGACTGGTCAAGCAGAACAAACACATTCCCAGAGACTCACAGGGGAGCACAAATGCAAAAACAATGCAATTGCTTTGTCAAAGGCTGACAGCTCTAGCGTTTTGGGTTTTAGAGGCCATTAATACACAAGGAATAAGGAAATAATGCAAGAATCTTTAAGGGACAGACTTATGAAGTGAAAAACAAAAAGCAATAACAAAGGGCAATGACACAGAAAACTTCAAGGGGAATTTTATTTTAATATTTGGTGATTTACACAACTGCCTTTGTTTACCATGTGACTTTTAGTCAGCCCTCTACAGAAGCTGCTCTTCTGCAAGTTCAGGGAATGTGCACAGCAAATGGCAATACAGGCTTAATAAAAAGTCCACAATGGAAAAGCACCTGTTGATACCTATGGACTTTGGATCAGGACCTCTAGGAATCAATGCCAACTGTTTCCTATTTTGCTTGTAATCCCCTACCCACTCTCAGGTTTTGTATCTCATTGTGTTCCAACATAAGTGCCTTGATTTATCACAAGCTAGTTACTGAGGAATTGTTCTATCCCTGAGTATCAATGAAAAATCCATAAGAAAATGCTGTGTGGGGGGTGAGTAACAGCTTTTACTGTACCATTCAAAGTGGCAAAAGAGAACAACACTAATTGCTTGGATGCAAAGTTTAAACCTGTTTCTTAGTTTTGGATATTGAACTTGTGGCTAGTGGCTTGAGACAAAATATGGAAACTCTTCTTTGAAAAATTCAAAATTTCCTCCTTCTCCCCCATTGTGTAGTGATGTGATTTGCTTCTGTTACTATAAATCCACTATTTTTTACCTATATTAACTCCTGTGGTACACCTCTCTGACGTCATCTTGCTAGCTAAGGGCAGGTCAGGAATTGCCCTCTAGCTTGGTTTACTGTTGATCCTGTACTCAGCTATCATCTGATCCTGCAATTGCTTATGTCTGTGTGTGATCCTTATTTAGGTACACAGTTTCATGGGGATTTTTACACTGCTAAGGATACCTCTCATGAATTAGTGGTTGCAGGATTGAGCCCCTGTAAACAACATTGCAAACAAGCATATAAATAAAAGGAACCAAGAGCAGAAAAAATGGGGGGAGAATGGACAGATGCAGCAAGAAAGGGGAGATACAAGGATGGAGGTCCTAGGTCCCAGTGGACTGGCTGGTCAAGCAGTTCCTTGGAGACCAGGGCAAATGATTAGCAGAAGGCTAACAGGTGAAGTTAGCATTAGGATTGGAGCCAGTGCATCCTGGGTGGAATTCAGGTTCCACTGAAATCTATGGCAAAACTCCTCACAGTTTCAGTGGGGCCAGGATCTTGTTTTTAGAGTACATCATGGTTAGAAGAGACACGTATTTGAGGAAGGACATGAGTTATTTCCTTAAACGCTGTACCAAACTAAGGCTTACTTGGCACCTGTAGACTAGAAAGAGGGACCCAATGGTGGGAATGAACTCTGGGTACCTATACATGAGCCAGGAGGCTGCTCCAATGCGCTGCAATTACATTAATTGACCCTGCAGGTGTAGTAATTACTGCCAGCCAGCCTCTGCGTCTCGTATATCAGTGTCCCCACACTTCAAAATGGTGGTGGGGGTGCTTTACCTAAAGCTTACTTGCCAAGTTTTAGATAAAGCGCCCCTGCCACCATTATAAAGCAGGGGGGCACTGATACATGAGACTCTCCGGGCACTTTAATTGGAGCGGCTCTCGGAACTGCTCTAATTAAAGCATCCTCATAGCCCTCCACTCCCAGAGGACGTGTAAAAATGCCCTCAGGTTCTGAACAAAGCAGTGCAACAACGCTTCTGTTAGGCCAACAGGCCAGGCCCAAGGACACCACTTCTTTAAGAACACAATGATTTGATTATGTAGCTTTCTCTCACTGCTCTTTACATATGGGTTTGGAAAAAATGCTGTGCATCTGCCAAGTGATCTTAAAACACAGTCCACTTCCTGTGATTTTTGCTACCAGGACCATTCTCTGTATTTTTTAAAACCCCACTGCTAGGAAGAAAAAACTTATGCCAAATACCACTTTCCTCGCCCCCAACAAACAAAGTAGAAAGGAATCATCCCTGGACAATATTATACTTTTAATTTGGTCTCCACCAGCCCAAATTACTTAAAAAACAAAATGCCTGGAATTGTTTTTAGTGAGAAAAACATTATTAAGTTGTAATGGCCTCTGCTTTTGTGGCATGGGTGAACGTTGGGTTTTGCTGTCTATGACTTTTTCCCAGGACATTTTTAAAAGAAGATGACGCATCTCCAGATGTTTTCCAGGAAATATATTTTTAAATAAATAAAGCAAAAAATAGCGAGATGGTTCCAATCACTTTAAGCCTGCAAGTTAATGGATTCCCCCATTTGGGGACACAGGAACGTCACTGCTCCAGATTTTTAGTCTTTTTTTTGTCTTAAATATCATGCTAAAAATAATTTTGAACCCAAGTATTTGAATGTGAATTGTCAACAAAAGAACTGAAACATCTGGACTTAAATATTTTCTTTTATTTTCTTCCTTTGCTCTCAGTGTTCCTTCCCTCCCATACGAGCTACCTTCATAGTACCTTACTCTACACAGGGAGTAAGGCATCCTACACCTTTCCTTTCCAGTCAGCCTCAAAGCCAGTCACCAAGTCTGCCAGAAAAATACCTCCAGAAATGTATATTATATGTTATTTGCAAAGCTGGTCAGGATAAAACATTGCTGCCATATTACTGTAATTCTTTTAGAACTATTTTTCCTAATCAAACTATTTAATTAATGAATAGTAGTGTTAGAGTGGTGTAGTAGCCATTATGGTCCAGGAATTATGTAAGAGGCATGGATTTTTTTGGGTGATATCTTTTATTGGACCAACTGCATAGCTGGGATAAAGTTAGACAAGCTTTCAAATAAGACCTGAAGAATGTGTTGTATTCAAAAGCTTGTCTAACTTTATCCCAGCTATGCAATTCATCCAATAAAAGATATCACCAAAGAAATCTTTTACTTCATTAATGAAGAGACATATATTGAGCTGAGAGAATTATTTTTAGGTGAACAGTAAAGTTACTAAAAAAAAAGAAGCACCAGTTTTGGGGTCAGCAATATTATTCATACATTTGAGTTGAAACTCGCCACTCCTTTTGGCCGAAATAAACAGGGACAACATTTAAGAAAGAGCAAATGTTTTATTTTAAAGACTAAGCAAAATATTCTGTTCCGAAACAAAAATCCCAATTATTTTTAAATGGCATGTTTTGACTTTTGAACATGCTGAAACAATAGCTTTCATTTCAAAGATGAAATTTAAAAGTCCAACTTTATCTTTTTTTAAAAAAAAGCCTTTTGGGCTGACCTGAACTGCATTTTTGTTTATTTTTCAGTTCCCTTTTGAACGAAGAAATTCATCCTTCACACAGCTCTAATAATTAGAAGGATCATCTGTGGCTCACTGAATAACAAAAAAGCTTCCACTGACTTCAATGATGAAGACCACTCCAGTGATTAGATCTCAGCAGATAAAATGTCAAAAGTGCTGAAGTCACTAGACAGCATTAATGAGATGGATGTTCCTTTCAATGAGATCTGTGCTTCTACATGTTTAAGTTAGTTTTGAAAATGTGGCTTGTACTCCCTAAGACAGTTTAGTCTTTTGTAAGCTTTACCTCAGTGTCTAATATGAATCAATGTGCTAATATCTGGTGTGTCTACATCTGGTTAACACTATGGATATACCCACACCATCCAAGCAATTCCCCAGGGAGTAGCACAGTGAAGCATGGGACACTTGCTCTGTGCACACTACCTCCCAATATGAATGTAATGCAGCCATCTTAATACCAATAGAGAGAGTGAGAACTTATTGTTGCTTAACCAGCACTGACCAGGGAGTGCATCCATAACATGCACAGGACAGGCATGTCATGCTTTACAGTATGACAGGGTCCCCAGAAGGGTCCTCAGGCAGTACAGCTGTGCCCTTAGTCACTGGTCTCTCATTTCTTAGTAGGTTTTAACATCCTATGATAAATTTATTCCTTCAGACTTTTCACAATCATCTTACATAAACTGTGTATCTAGTTTGGTTTTATGTTTTTAATTTGCATTTTCTTTTAACTAAATGTGTACATTTTAAATGCCCTATATCTGTTTTAGCCTAGCTAGCATACAACAAAGTCAGGGAAATGGGTATAACGGGCCGGTTAAAATTACTGAATCAATGTGCATCTTAGAATGAAGTTACATGGTACACTTTGACCATACTAGGGGCTCTTAAATCATGAGCATCTACACATTAAAGCTCCTTACCTCATGCAGAGTGCCCTCCAAAAAGCTCTAAGTTATGCCACTTCAGGTGAGGGTTAGCTCTGGGCTGTGTTACCTAGGATGTGTTAGGGTAACTTAGACCTGGTTCATGAAGATAAAAATGAGCATTTACCAACCTCTGTCATCCCAGAATGCACTGCTCCCAGCCCCCTTGCCACCCCCTCAACTCCTTGAGCAGGGATACAGCCCAAGTGTCCTGGCTCCAAGGCGTACCCCTGCTCAACAACTCTCTAGCCACAAGGCAGAGCAGCACAGGCAAGAAATAGTATTAACCCTTAATGTGTAGCTGCTCACAGCACATTCTAACTTTAATACTACATAACACCTCACAGATCTAGTATGGTCAAAATGTAACACGTAAAATCACTCTTATACTCCACCTATCCTACCGCTTTCATATTCACTGTATGCCTATATGACAATTCAGGGCTATGCAGAAACACACAAGCTAGGACTGAATGAATGACTTCAGATACCAGAAGCATTATAGGCAAGTTATCATGCTGCTCCACAAAGGCTAATAATAATTTAGCTCCGATTCTCAGCTAAAGCCCTGATTCTCCAAGTACCCATGCGGTACACTATGAGAACACAACTATGCTGCTACCAGTATCCAAGGTCACTCAAAGCTAGCTTGGCTATTTCTGTCCAGCACTACATTTTGCTGGGTAGATGTACCCCTATACTGATTTGCAAAACCTATTAAGTCACAAACCAACTCCCTTTTATTTATGTGAATTGGCAAGGTTTTACTGTATTTAATTTTGTAGTTTTTGTTTTTTTTTATTTTAGTGAAATAAGAAAATATGTTTGTGCTCTTCCTTTACCTCAAAGGAGATTTGCTTACCTCTGTATGTAAGAGTTGTTCACCCCTCTATGATCCAAATCATGGCTCAGTGCTGCTATCAGCAAAGCAAGTGTTTCTAGATCAGTCAGCTTGCTCTGCACATAACAGAAAATACAAGAAAAAATATGTTTGCTTTGAATTTGATATTAATGCATGATGTCTTTTCTTGTCAATACACAACATCTTGAGCTTTGACATATGAACATAAATTTAATCACAATAGGATAATTTCTTCCCTTATGTAAACTGCAATATTAAAAACAGGATTAAATGGTATAAAGCAGCCTTTACATCAATTCTTACAAAGCAGCCTTCATTATATCTCAATGAAAGAGGCCAGTACCATTCTAAACATTGTTTTTAAGAAGATGGGGAAACTGAGACAAAGGATGTCATGCCCAAAGTATCCAGCACAGTGGTGACTTTGGAACTGATCCCTGGTCTCATGAGCCCTAGTCCTCTGCCCTCTCCGTGAAGCAATGCCCCTTTTTAGCAGCTAAAGAATCTATTATTTTAATCAAAAGGTCAACACAGAATCAACTCATTTATAATACATTCTTTTGCAGGAATAGTTTGCCAAGAAGTGGGAGTTATAGCTTCTCCCTGGCCACTTCATATTTCCAACATTGTTTAATATAGATAATAGAGACAGAAAGCTTACTTGGCTAGTGACCAGATAATATTGAAAAAAAATCTCACTCTAGGCCATTTTAGACTCCAGAATCCT